TTTTTTCATGAAAAAAGTGTGCCTTTGCACAAAAAAGGCTGAAAAACACTGATATAAATCATAAGGACACAAGCAACAAAGTTACAGTCCTGCAGTCATAAGTGGGAGGAGATGGGAGGAACAGTGAGAAGATTAATAGTAATAGTAATGCAGCCTTAGTGAATAATTTGACCGTGGTGAGGGAATTATTTGTTTAGCAGAGTGATGGCATTTGGGGAAAAACTGTCCGTGTGTCTAGTTAAGCGGGTGTGCAGTGCCTTTTAGTGGCGTTTTGAGGGTAGGAGTTGAAATAATTTATGTCCAGGATGTGAGGGGTCTGTAGATATTTTCACAGCCCTCTTTTGGACCCGTGCAGCGTGCAGGTCGTCAATGGAAGTCTAGTTGGCAGTAATTGTTTTTTTCTGCAGTTCTAATGATCCTCTGAAGTCTGTCTCTGTCTTGTTGGGTTGCACTGAACCAAATCAGACAGTTATAAACCAAGTTTGAGGATTTTGCATTCATCCATTAGTAGTTGCAGGGCTTTTTCAAACTTGGCAAATTTGCGTAGACTTCAACTCCCAGAATTCCCCTGCCAGCAGGCATCCTGGGAGCTGAAGTCCAACATCTTAACGTTGCCAAGTTTGAAAAACACCGATCTAGTACACTCCAACTGTATCAAATGCCACTTTGTGAGAACAGTGAAGTTCTTAAAAGTAAAAAACAGCCACTAGCCCCAAGAGGTCGGGCAGCCCTAATACGGAAAGGTTGGATTGACATTTTCCTTGTGACCAATTCACAATTAAATCATGTATTATGTACTAAATCGATGGAGGGCACAGCAAGCCTTCCCATTTGATTAGATAAGATGTCGAGGTGGCACAGTGGTTAGAGTGCAGCACTGCAGGCTACTTCAGCTGACAGCTAGCTGCAGTTCGGCTGTTCGAATCTCACCAGGCTCAAGGTTGACTCAGCCTTCCATCCATACAAGGTCGGTAAAATGTGGACCCAGATTGTTGGGGGCAAGAGGCTGACCTTTTAAACTGCTTAGAGAGGGCTGTAAAAGCATTAGGAAGCGGTATATAAGTCTAAGTGCTATTGCTATGTCCCCTTTGAATTTTTCTACCCTCTTCACAGCCAACAAATGTGTATTACATTCACATTATGCATAATTATAGGTTTATTGTTCCGAAGCAGTCTCTCTGTGATGGACAATCTTAGTCTTTCTGTGATCGTAAAACAAGATGGGTGGAAAATAAACTCAATGAATGAATGGCCTGATGTAATTGCTATATACCAATGATTTCCATAGGTCTGTATTCATTGAAGAATTTATAAGGAGGGTCAAGATCATTATGAAGCATGGCAGCTTCTCCCGGCATGGATATGCTTCGGGGGAGAAATTCTGTCTTTTAGTTCCAATTTTGCAGAACCGGCACTGCCATTTGGCAGGATTAAGGTTATCATCTCAAATACCATCTGTTGATACATGGTGACGGTGTTAGCAACCTCCAGAGGCATCCCTCTCTTGATTCCAGATGCTTTCTTTTGCAAAATGAAGCCTGTAACATGCTGGTTAACCAGAATGCAGAGGAGGTGTGAGTAATTTTGAAATTGTTAACTGTTTCATACGGTTATAGTGGTTCTATAACCCAATTTTGGGGGTGTTGCATATAGCCAGTTTGGTTGATCTCAACAAGTTAAGGTCACACTGAATTAATAGTGAGGTTGGCTAAATTGTAATGGGCTGCGGTGGCTCGGTGGCTAAGACGCCGAGCTTGTCAATCGAAAGGTCGGCAGATTGGTGGTTCGAATCCCTAGTGCCGCATAACGGAGTGAGCTCCCATGACTTGTCCCAGCTTCTGCCAATCTAGCAGTTCAAAAGCACGTAAAAAATGCAAGTAGAAAAATAGGAACCACCTTGTAAGAGCGTTCTGTGCCCCTTCACCATTTAGTCATGTTGGCCACATGACCACAGAGACATCTTCAGGCAGCGCTGGCTCTTCGGCTTTGAAACGGAGATGAGCACCGCCCCCTAGAGTCAGGAATGACTAGCACACATGTGCGAGGGGAACTTTTACTTTTACCTAGGCTAAATTGCAAAGTTGAATTAAACATCCCCAAAGAATATAGTGGCAAACAATTTCTGTATTGTTGCCAAGAAAAGTATTTATTTATATTCCGCATTTCTAAGCTGCCCATCTCCCTCAAACACGGACGAATGCATGAAATCATTGAGGATCAACCTTGAGTTGAAGGAGACTTTAGTTTACATTTAGAAATCAGAAGTCGTTATCACAAATCCTCCAGAGACCTATCAATTGATATCCTGTGTGTAATGCCCGTATATTCTTGATTTACTACAGTTGTTCCCAATTTCTGATTTTTCCTAAGAACACTTAGCTTATTTCATGGACTCATGTACCTCTCACATGGAATTTGCTGATCAATAAAATCTAAAATTCCACATGAATGAGCTAACAGATTTATTATGCTTGAAGCTTTCAGGTAATTAACTTGATAAACTGAATACCGGCTCATATCACAACAAACCTATTTGTCTTTAAGTTAGCTCAGCTGTATCATTAACAATAATTAATAAATACCGGGATTTTACCATTTGCATCTAAGATATTCAGATTTAACAGATGATCAGAGTTGGAAGGGACCTTGTAGGTCATCTAGTCCAACCCCCCCGCCCAAGCAGGAGACCCTGCACTATTTCTGACAAATGGCAGTCCAGTCTCTTCTTGAAAGTCTCAAGTGATGAAGTTCCCACAATTTCCAAAGGCAACTTCTATTCCATCGCTTGATTGTTCTCACTGTCAGAAAAATTCTCCTTATTTCTAGGTTGAATCTCTCCTTGTTCAGTTTCCATCCATTGTTCCTTGTCTGGCCTTCAGGTGCCTTGGAAAATAGCTTGACCCCCTTCCTCCTCTCTGTGGCAGCCCCTCAAATATTGGAAGATGCTACCATGACTCCCCTGGTCCTTCTCTTCCCTAGATCAGCCATGCCCAGTTCCTGCAATGGTTCATCGTATGTTTTAGCCTCCAGTCCCCTCATCATCCTGGTTGCTCTTCTCTGCACTCTTTCTAGAGTCTCAACATCTTTTTTATAGTGTGGTGACCAAAACTGGATGCAGGATTCTAGGTTTGGGCTCATAGCTCTTCAAAAAAATATATATATCCCTGCAACTAACACCTATAATTAAACTCCAAATGTATTTCTTCTTCCTTAGGCTCATGCAAAAGTCTGGCATAATTATGACCAACATTTTCGACCCCAGCAGAAAGGGTTTTTATCAATCACGTTGGGATCTCACTGGATTGAACCCAATAAAATCAACAACCAATCAGATATTGGAAAGTGTCAGCTGTCCATGCAGAAAGTCCTGGGCTGGTTTGCAAAGCCAATACACGGAGATGGCGATTACCCAGAAGAGCTGAAGACGGAACTTGCCTCCCTCCTCCCAAAGGCCACTCCAACCGAAAAAAAGCATTTTAAAGGGACGGCTGATTTCTTCGCCTTTTCTTTCGGGCCAAATAATTTTAAACCTTCAAGCAAGCTGCCCCAAATGGGACAGAATTTCTCCCCCGACTTGAGGGCCGCTCTGAACTGGATTAAAGTGGAATATGACAACCCCAAGATCTTGATCGCCGAAAACGGGTGGTTCACCGACAAAGATGTGAAAACAGAAGATACTACGGTTATTTACATCATGAAGACCTTTATTAATATGGTTTTGCAAGGTGCATATGGAGATTGGGGAGGGGTTGGGATTTGAAAGTGGCCAGTCGTGTTGGAAGAGGGTCGCTTAAATGAGGGAAACCAAAAAGGAATCAATTACAGGTAGTCCTCGACTTACAGTTCATTTAGTGACTGCTCAAAGTTATAACCACACTGAAAAAAGAACAGAACAGAGTGGAATAGAATAGAATTATTGGCCAAATGTGATTGGCCACACAAGGAATTTTTTTCTTTGGTGCGTATGTTCTCAGTGTACATAAAAAGATAAGATACATTTGTCAAGAATCATTTTGTTCATGCACCGGACCGGCAGTAATGCTGCCCCAGGAGTTCCGTTTTTGCCCTCCCCAGCCCCCGGGAGCACTCTACAGGCCCCCCAAACCCTCTGTGTGCCCCATTTTTGTGAAAAACGGGACCCGCAGGGGTTTTTGGAGGCCTGCAGAGTGATCCTGGGGGCCAAGTAGGGCAAACACTCCCCCCCCCCTTTGTTTACCTCTTCGAAATCTTGGTGCATCTTATACTCCGGTGCATCTTATATTCTGGAAAATACGGTAATCCATGCCTTCGTTGCTTTTCAGAAGTAGGGGGAGAAAGTGATAAGATATAAGACGAATCAGATGTGATGTGATCCCACCTGCCCTGTTGCTGGCTCCATCCGATTAGTCTTAAAGAAACAGTTATCCACCCAAAATAAAAATAATTCCTTAGATTGGACCTCGATAAACAAGCCAGGCAGCTGCTAAGAGAAATCCTTTCCAACCCTCCTCCTTACTGGTTTACATTTGTGATGAATATAAGGCATAGATCCTGAGTTCGTTAACTGGACAATTGTTAATTGTTTTTTATTTATTTGCCTTACGCAGCTATTAAATATGATCGGGTCGATGTCTTTGGTTACACGCTTTGGTCACTCTTGGATGGATTTGAATGGCAAGAGGCCCTCAACACCCGGCGAGGTTTGTTTTACATAGATTTCGAGAGTGAAGAGAAGGAGCGGATCCCCAAGTCATCTGCATTTTATTATAAGGGAATCATTCAGGAGAATGGCTTCCCTGCTGAAGAACCAAACCAGACTTTGCAAGGCCAGTTTCCTTGGGATTTCTCCTGGGGCATCACAGAATCCGTTATCAAGGTAAGCAGACTAAAGCAAGCATCCCAACTCTTTGAATCAGAATGGAGCTGGAAGGGACCTTGGAGGTCTTCTAGACCAACCCCCTGCTCAAGGAGGAGACCCTGGCCTATACCATTTCAGACCTCTGTGTGCCCCATTTTTTGTGAAAAAACGGGGCACGCAGAGGATGACTTCTTAAGGACCTCCAGTGATGGAGAACCCACAACTTCTGAAGGCAATTTCTGTTCCATTGCTTAACTGTCCTCACTGTTATGAAGTTTGGGAGGATAAAATTAATTTAGTGTCTCCCCAAAATGTTGCAAATATTAAAATCAGAATGCCCCTTATCCCTCAATGATGATCCTTTATAAATCTGGTTTTTTTAAAAAAAAATCCAAATCGTTTATTAACGTAGATGTTCCAAATCATAGGTTTTTAAGGTCTTTGCTCAAAAAAAAGAGCACTATTAGGAGTAGAACATAAATCAGAAGTTTATAATTTGATACATTTCTCAAATGCCCAAACCATAAAACCAGTATTAAATTGGGGCGGTAAACAGAGCACTAGGGAAAAGTCTCTATACAGGAATGCCACTATAGAAAACATCCTTACTTTGGTTCACCGACAAAAGGGCGAACGACAAAACCGTGCCCGACTAAACTGCGTCGCTGACGTCATCAACAGGGCGACAACAGCGGGGAGACAGAAGCACGCTGTAAACCCTAAATCTAAACTTAACCCCTAAACCTAAACCTAACCCCCCTAAACCTAAACCTAATCCTAACCCTAAACCTTAACCTAACCCTAAACCTAACCCTTAAGCTAACCCTAAACCTAACACCTTAAGTTGAATCGGCTTTCTTTCTCTGCGCTATTTAAAGCGTCCTTCTTTCTCCGCGCTGGCTGTTATCGCCCTGTTGATGACATCAGCGACGTGGATTAGTTGGGCGCGGTTTTGTCGTTCGCCCTTTTGACGGGTCACACCTTACTTTATAGATTATTCTTATGACATAAATATGTTCAAGAGATGGGAGCAGCTTCGACTGAGAAAACCTGCTACTCCTCTCGGGTTTAGCAAGCTGAGAATACGTAACTCTGGTGAAGCAACACACGGTTTCCCATCTCTCTTTTAAGATCAAGCCCTCTCTTTCAGGACAGGTTGAATAGCATTCATCTTTTTGACGTTGCTTAGATATCTTGATTTCTTGACCTTCACGCTTCGGTATGTTGTTGTGTCCAAACATTAATTCAGAACAACCCCCCAAGCTTCACCGGCATTGTGCTAGACTGGGCTTTTATAATCTCACTTTTCAAAATTTCCCAAGCTTCTTGAGTTGTTTTCCTGTTGAGGATTCTCATCCATGGAATCCTTCCCAAGCTCTAAGTTTATTGAAATTAGATCTCTTAAAGATGATGGATGGGGAGAGGAGGAAAAACTGGATGTCATTCGCAGATGGACATCGCAGCTCCTCTTTTTTTATATGGCCTTGTCTAGATGTACTGGTCTCTTCACCTTCGTCCATGACTTCCCAAAAGGGTTGAATCAGCAGATGGAGCAATGGCTTCAGAGGTTGCTTCAGAAATGCTCCACTTTGACCATGCTATTAGAAGCCACCCGGACTGTTCTGACCGAGGCTTCCCAAGAGCATGAAGCAAACTCCTTGTTCGGACAAAAAACCCTTTTGTTAATTTACTGTGAATTTGGCTCATTCACATCCAGCAAAGTCTTTCAAGGGAGGATTTACAGTCACAGACCTTATCTGGCTTGGAGAGCTGCCAGTCCTGATATCTGCAGAACTTGGCAAGGAGTCTCGGAGAGTCACAGGCCAATGAAGTGAACTAATTGTCTCCTGCAAACTCCTCTCCCCTTTTGCTCCTCTTTTATTTCCTCTGGGATGGGCCATTCACCATCCCCCTGTGGCCTTACTCCCAAGTCGACCCCTGTTCTTTAGCTGTTTCCTTCACAAGGCAACTCTGCACATGCACACACTGGGAACAGGCTCCAGCTGTTCTTCTGCCCCAGTGATCTCCGACTCTGAAGGCAGCTGATCACTGCCAGACGGCCTCAGCCCCATCTCTGCCTCCAATGCAGAGCCCTCGTCAGAGCTTTCCCCAGACTCCAGGACTGGCCCATGTTCCCCCCCAACCTCCTCACTGTCCAAATCTGCTTCCAGCTCCGCTGGCCACTGGTGGACCACAAAACTATTAGAGGAACAGACTAGGATGCTCCTCAGATCAGGCTGTAAGTGATCTTGCCAGTGTCCCAAATCTAACATAACGACTCCTAGATGTATTGGGAAGGAGGGAAACCACCCATGTAAATCAATATTCCTTCTCAATCTTCATTCTCGTTCGCAGGCTGAACCCGTTGCTTCTTCTCCTCAGTTCTCTGACCCTAACCTGTATCTCTGGAACGTTTCTGGAGACGGAAAATTCCACCAGGTGAAGGGCGTGAAATTGAAAAACCGGGCAGGTCAGTGTACCGACTTCATCAGCATTAAAACACACCTTCAGCTGCTATCAAAAATGAAGGTCACTCATTACAGGTTCGCCTTCAATTGGTCACTGCTCCTCCCCAGTGGCGACATGTCATCCCTTAACAGCCACAACCTGCGGTATTACCGATGTCTGATTAGCGAGATGCTCAAACTCAACGTGAAGCCCGTGGTCACCTTGCACTATCCGACCCATCAGTCCTTAAGCCTGCCAGGTCCTTTACTTCAACACGGCGGATGGTTGAATCAATCCACCGTCCGGGCGTTTAGAACGTACGCCGAAGTGTGCTTCCAGGAATTTGGAGACCTAGTTAAATTCTGGATCACCATCAACGAGCCGAATCGTTTCGGTGAAATTTACAACAGCAGCAGCAACGACACTTACCGAGCAGCTCACAATTTGCTGATCGCTCATGCCTCGGCTTGGCAGGTCTACGAGAAACATTATCGGTCTTTCCAGTGGGGTCAGGTGTCTCTGTCCCTGCACTGTGATTGGGCAGAGCCTGCTAACCCTTACCTCGCTAACCATTTGGAACCGGCCAATCGGTTCCTCCAGTTTGAAATAGCCTGGTTTTTAGATCCTCTGCTGAAGACGGGCGACTACCCAGTGGCCATGAGAAAATACCTCGGTTACAAAAAGCGCAAAGGCCTTTCCAGTTCGTTTTTGCCATTTTTTACAGAGGAGGAGAAGCAGCTCGTCAAAGGGGCTGCCGATTTCATCGCCGTGAATCATTTCACCACTCGATTTGTGATCCACGAGTCGAAGAACGGGAGCCGGTATGACTGGGATCAGGACATTAAATTCATTCAAGATAAGACCTACGTAATGCCCCCCGTTCGCTCCGCAGTGGTGCCTTGGGGGTTACGCAAAACCCTGAACTGGATCAACCGTCATTACGGCGATATGGATATTTATGTCACCGCGAGTGGGATCGAGGATCAGGCTAAAGACAATGACGAGCTCCGTAAATACTACATCGAAAAATATGTGCAGGAAGCTTTTAAAGGTGAGTAGAAGGGGATATGGGACTTGGTGGCTAAGATGTTGAGCTTGTTGATCAGAAAGGTAGGCAGTTGGGCGGTTCGAATCCCAAGCGCCTTATAACAGAGTGAGCTCCCGTTACCTGCCCCAGCTTCTGCCAACCCAGCAGTTCAAAAGCACATAAAAATGCAAGTAGAAAAATAGGAACCAAGTTTTGGTGGGAAGGTAACATGTTCCGTGCACCTTCGGCATTTAGTCATGCCAGTCACATGACCACGGAGACGTCTTCGGACAGCGCTGACTTTTCAGCTTAGAAACAAAGATGAGCAATGCCCCCTAGAGTCGGGAACAACCAGCACATATGTGTGAGGGGAACCTTTACCTTTAGAAGTTGATAGACGTTATTCCCAATAATTCAGAAGCCTCCTGTGCGTTTGTTTAGCAAATTTTAAAGAGGGTCGGCTGGAATGTTTTTCCTTTGCACAGAAGGGATGAAACGCGAGGTTTTTTTTATTGATTGGAATAATATCGTTAGGTTTTCCTGTAGCAGGTGAGACTACCGGGTGGCCATTTCTAGCATAGAATGATCACAGTGGGGACTCCAAAGGTCGGCTAGCAACGTGATCAGACCAATGCTTTTTTTTAAAAATAAAAAAATAAAAAGCATAGCCTTTTGTAAGGAAAACATCTGGATGATGGAGAGGATGTGCACACGCAAGGCAGATCATGGGTACCACGTCAATGACAGAGTTTTAATGGGTTAGAAAAAATACCCAGCCTCCTGATTTTTGGCTTCCCTCCCGCAAGCTCTGAAATGGGAGCAAAGGATTCGTTCGCACATGTGTGCGTCGCACAACAGTAGTGTGTTCTGCTGCCCTTGACACCTCAGGTCCTAAAGGAAGCTTCCCATCCCTACTGCTCTCTGGATGTGTTATGAGCCGAGGTGGCGCAGTGGTTAGAGTGCTGTACTGCAGGCCACTTCAGCTGACTGTTATCTGCAGTTTAGCGGTTCAAATCTCACCGGCTCAGGGTTGACTCAGCCTTCCATCCTTCCGAGGTGGGTGAAATGAGGACCCGGATTGTCGTTGGGGGCGATATGCTGACTCTGTAAACCGCTTAGAGAGGGCTGAAAGCCCTATGAAGCGGTATATAAGTCTAACTGCTATTGCTATTAAGGATGTTGTGTTGTGCTGGCTGAGCCAGGGGATTATTGTGGGAAGCGCTATATCGAAAATGATTGTTCCCATTACATTCAGCAAATCAAGGCCAAATATCACACCTCTCCGCCCCCCCTTTACGACAGGTAGTTCATTTCTGTAGAATTTACACAATCCTGCCCAAAGCTATTTTTTCCCTTTCAGCCACAAACCTGACATCCGCAACCACAGTATATCACAGGAGTACAGCCCCTCATATTTTGTAAATATTTAAGTATATCTCGCCAGCAGTTTAGACATTAATGGCTGTGTGTTGGGTTATTTTGAGAGGACAGTACCTTTACACTGTTATACAAGCTGTATCCTCACTACTTTACACTGTAGCCAAGTGACGTTTCTTCAGTGTTGTCTCATGAAAAGACATCCTTAAATATTTACAAAATGTGAGGGGGTGCACTCAATTCTGTGATACACTGTATGCTTTCCAAGTGATAGTCAAATTATTTTTTGTCATATGGTTGATAACTTTCTTTAAAAAAAAACAAAACCAATTTCATCCAAAATTATAATCTAGGTGGATATAACAAAGTCTACCAAACAATAGTCAGAGCAATAAATACGATACTGACAAATACCTTTTTAGCAATCCTATCTTTTTTTCCCCCCCCCACCTGGATTTTGAAATAAGCTATCAGAAATCAAGACCAATAATGAAAGACATTTCAGCCCAAACTTATCTCACAGGGTTGCTGTTTGTGGAGAAAACAGGAGAAAGAAGAAATAATTGGTGTGCTTGAATAAAGACGAGATAAAAATAAATAAAAATGATAGGGTGTTAATATTGTTTCTCACTAACGATGCAAACAGAAGAATCTGGTGCAAGTGGTTGAAGAAAGGTATAATTATCTGATTAGCAGAAGAATCCCCCAAGATCTGAGTGTTTTTTATATAACTTAGCTATGTATCCTCACTCCGCTCTGGCTATGGGAGTGGGATAAGTGCCTTTTCAGTTTAATTTCTCACAAAAAATTATTGCGAAAGTCATAGCAACTTGAAGGAAGGATTGATTTATGAGAAGTTCGTGAAATTCAACTGTGAGGGATAACAAATGTTATTAAAAGGACAAGAGATAGCAGAACAGAGAGTAAGATTGTATTAAGGACTGTTATATAAGCAAATTACTGTCAGTCTTGTTTTGTCAAAGCTTAACAACCCTTTTGTGTTTGTGAGGATTACAGCTGAACAGATGCCAAAAATATTATATAGGGTATACAGGTAGTGCTCAACTTACAACCCCAAATGAACCCAAAATATCTGTGGCTAAGTAAGACATTTCATAAGCCCCATTTTACCACCTTCCTTGCCCCAGTTGTTCGATGAATTGCTGCCGTTGTTAAATTAGTAACGGTTGTTAAATGGACCAGGCTTCCCCATTGACTTTGCTCATCAGGTCACAAAACGGGAGTCACATGACTCCCCAGGACACTGCAACTGTCATAAACTAGTGGCCAAGGCTTTGAATTTTGATGATGTGACTCTGGGGATGCTGCAATGGTCATAAGTCACTTTTTTCGGAGCCGCCGTAACTTTGAATGGTCATTGAACAAACCGTTGTAAGTCGAGGACTACCTGTAGACAACTATTATTTGAGGAAGGAAATGATGAAGTGGGAGACGGTAAGAATTACTTTTAGAGACTACAAATAAAGCAGTAATCGTCTGAGAAATAAATGCTTCTGTCCCAAAGTAATCTATGTAGTGTGACAAGATCACATAAGAACAAGATATAATCTCATTCTTGAAAGCTTTTAAGAAAAAAAATGTTAATTGTATTATTAGTAATACAAACAAAATACTTTTTTAAAAGAACTGCAGAAATTCTAGGGAGGGTGTTCCTTTGGAGGGGAGGGGGGGGGGAATGAGCTTAAACCAGTTTACACCCATATTTTTTCCCCAAAATACTATAGAATGGCTTTTCAGTTCACACAAATAATTAACGTGAGGTTGTTTGTCCTTTTCAGCTTACCACATCGACAAAGTCAACCTCAAGGGCTACTTTGGATTCAAGCTAACGGACGTAGCCAAACTCAAAATTGGGTTCTTCACTTCCGAATTCCAAGCCAAAGCGTCCGTCCAGTTCTACAACCGGCTGATCTGCAACAACGGCTTCCCCATCGATCCCACAAACAAATGCGGACAGCCAACGGAATCGGCCTCCTGCCCCTTCTGCTTTCTCCGCGTTCTGGAAAAGCCCCTGACATTCCTGGGATGCTGCTGTTTGGCTACCCTAATAATGATCCTAAGCATGGCTGCTTTCCAGAAGCAAAAGAAAAAGAGACGAGATTGGTCAAAATACTTCCAGCACTTCGGCCCTTCTGTGAAAACTAAACCTAAGAAAGTTCTCAGCCAAATATAGAATCATTTTCTTTGTCCGCTTATCAACGGGGATCAGAAAAATGAGTGGAAATTAGTGGAAACACTTATTATTGTCTCAGTAATATACTTATGACTGGAATGCCAAATTCAGGATTCTGACACAAGAGCCACACTTTGGTTTTTGTTTTTTTTACAAGGGCTCATTCTACATTCTTATTCCACACCTTAAAACATTTCTTCGCTGTTTTACTACGGAGAAAATGGGTTTCCGGTCAACTAGCCTTATTCACTTTCTTCAGGCTCTACAGATTATACAACCCAGTCCCATGGAAGCTATTTAACCTATTGGATATCTTGCACCTTCTCCATGTGAAAGCAAACTATTAAAAAAAAATATGCCTGTTGGTTAATTGTTTTAATTAGAATTCAACCAAATGTCTCTGTTNCCCAGGAGCACTACAAGCCTCTCAAAGCTCTACATGCCCCTCCCTTTTTCTGCAAAAAACGAGGCGTGCAGAGGGTTTGGGAGGCCTGCAGAGTGTAAAAACCTTTTGTTTAAAAAAAATATCTCTTCAAAACCATGGTGCATCTTATACTCTGGTGCCTCTTATAGTCCGAAAAATACAATATTTCTATCTCTATATCTATCTATCATCCATCCATCCATCTATCCATCCATCCATATCTAATAGTAGGGTCATAGTTAAAATAACTCAAGATTTTTATTTAAAGATTTTTGATGTAGTTAATGTTTTCCTTTAAATATTGGGGGAAATGGTGAGTGAAGACCTTACAGAAAGCTTAAGAATGCAAGACAAGTTATGCTACTGAGTCAGAGCAAGGCTTATATAATTCAGCACCAGTTTGCCGGTGTCCAAAAGAAACACACAAATGAATTAACTCACTCTTTCAACTGTGTTTTCCAAAACTAGTACAAAGAGCTATATTGTCCCTGTATTTAAAGCCACTAGGTAATCACTGACAATTCTCTTACCGTGTTAGCAGACAGACACCTTCCTGGTGGGTTTTAGGATCTCGGAGTAATGCCCAGATACTCACTTCTCTGATTTCTGCCAATGATGGGTCACAGGTGAGCTTTAATACTAGAGCCTTCAGGCTTGACACAGAGAGTCTATCCAAGAAAAAGAACATCAGCCTGGAATATCAAAAACCTCCAGCCCACTCTGCTTCTGTGTTAAGACTGACCTTTAACAATAACAATTTATGTCTGCCCTGGTCATGCTATGTAGAAAATCTTCTGATGGAAGAAAATTTACTTTATAAGAAGTTCTCTTTCCACTATTAAAAGAAAGGATGAGCGATTGAGAGAGAGGAAGGTTTACCTGCATGGGTTGCCTTCAGACAGTTGTTCTCTTACAAACAGCTTCCGTCGGCCTTCAGATAAAGGCATCTTTTGCCCCAAAGTTTTGCTGACCTGCCACAGCAGAGCACAAAAGAGATCTGGGAACACCTGTTGGAGGGCTTTTTTCACTTGCAGAACAGAAAGGATTTCGTAGATGGCACAGGTGGCCTGGGAAAAGGAAGAAGAGACTGAAATATGGAACTTTCTTTCCAAACTTTGAGAAAGCGAAACAAATCGTGGAAGATAAAGCTTAATGTAATGGACATTTGGGCTTTGTGAGGACCCTTCCCCCAATCATATGGTTTTACCAAAAGTTGCTCCAGGCAATATAAGATGGACAATTTTTCTCCCAGTGCTATTGGGAGGGATATTTGTGAACTGCGGGGGCTAAACCTTAACTGCACCAGAGGTGTTTGGACCGGTTCAGCCAAACCGGTAGGAACCTGGGTCACTAGATCCGGCAGTGACCCAGGTCTGCCATGCCCTTGATCTGGTTCTTTCGGCAGCGCCATAGGTGCTACCATTTTGTTTTTGCCTTCTGCATATGTGCAGAGCAATTTTTATCACAGTGTGCATGCATATGCATGCATAGTGTGTGTCCCATAGTGCGTGTTGTGTGTTCAGCGCATACCTGAGCGAACCGGCAGTAGCAGCAGCCAGAACCCACCTCTAAATTATACCCTTTATTTTCTAAGTCAACAGATTCACAGACAAGCCACAGACTCAAGAAATGGAAATAGTGCCTTGGATTGGTAGTTAAAGGTCAGTTTGTTGTCCCCAAAGTATTGCAGTGTGGTCAGGCTCAATAGCCCAGGTCCTGTGTGGTGGTTTCTCTCCATTCTTGGAACACTTTAAATTTTTAAAAACACTTAGATTTATTAATGTATTTATTCTATTTATATTCCTCCTTTCACTAAAAAATAAATAAAGTAAGAATGACAAACAAAAGTAAAACTTTAATGAAGAACAAAGATATAAAAATAATAAAGTACAGAAAATCAGAAGCAATATTTATCATAATAGATGCTCAATAAAACAGATGATGGGCCTAGTGGCAAAATGTCATAAAAGCTGTGTGAGCCGCACTTCTTGGGAGAAGAGAGTGCCACAAAATTCATGATCTCATCAAATCTCATATTTATAGAAATAAAATATTAAATGTTAATTATTGAACAGAAGGAAAATGATTAGGAAAAATGCCTGATGCAGTTTCAATATACAATACAATACAATACAATGCAATGCAATGCAATGCAATACAATACAATACAATACAATACAATACAATACAA